CCCCAAAACCCCAAAACCCCAAAACCCCAAAACCCCAAAACCCCTTTCTGAGGCCTAGAATTGAACCAAGGCTCACCAAGGACTGATAGATATTCTACAAAGGATTTTTAGCGGATGTTTAGAGTAAATTTAGTCATCCAGGATTAATTTTTCCTCCATATTCTTCTTCTCCTCGTTGCTCTGAGGGTCTCTAGAGGCAAATTTATTCTCAAGTTTAGCTCCCTTATTTACCATCATGTTGAAGAACTCGAATTGCTTCTCTTTTCTCTCCTTTGTGTATTTGTAGATCAAGATCGGCTTCAAGATTGTTTCATCAAACTGCTTGAAATATTTCACTCAGGAGTTTTGCTTTTTCTTCTGCTGAACAATAGTGGCATCTGCTTCCTCGAAGTTGGGGTGTACCATCATTTCATGGAAACTTGATGAATCTCCTGATTTGTCTTGGCTTCCTGATTTATTCATTTCAACCATTTCCTGATCATTATGCTTCTTCTTTTTAGCGTGTCCGTGATCAACAGATGGCTCACCTTCCTTCTTAAGAAGAACCTTTCCCAAGATTGGCATTAATGACCCGAATAGAAGTGTTGTCAGGATAACCAAGCATAAAGATGTGGTAATGATCACTTCTCTGTTTGGTAACGAGTGATCCAGTCTCAGTACCAATCCAAAAGCAATGGCTCCTCTGATCATTCCTCCACAATATAAAAACATTGTTTCTTTGAATGAGAGCTCACGCGTGTGGTTTAGGAGGAAACTGATGACGTAGAGGAGTCCCACAATGCCCAAGAATCTTCCAATAATAATAACAAAGAACTCAGCAATGAAGAACTGCCATGACCATTCATAGCTAGTATATGAAAAGAATGTGAGACCAAGATAAGCAAACACAAAAGCTTCAGCTCCGAATCCAATAGCCCCAAAGGCAAGACTAGTAGTCTGCTTTGACTGAGGAGATAGATTATACCAAGCGTAGTGAGCCATCAAGACACCAGTGGTGAGTAAGGTAATGATTCCAGATAATTCAAAAAGTTCACTGAACATATAGCCAAGATAGCCAAAGCAAAACACAAATAAAGTCTCATGAACAGGCGAATGAGTTAGGAATCTCATATTCTTTAGTCATAATGCGCAAGCAAATGAGGCGACCATTCCACACCCCACTGAGGATAAGGCAAGTTTTGAGAACTCAAGGAATACCTTGAAGACTGTCTGGGTAGTGAACTTCTCAGTAGACCCGGTGTACTTGAACACTGTGTTGAATAGAATGATAGATACAGCATCGTTGGTGATACCTTCACCGAAAACCATCGAGAATAATTTAGGCTCTTTCTGGAAATCTATCAAAGATACAGCTGCCACCACATCTGAAGAACACATCAAAGAACACAGCAGTAGGATCTCCCTAAGAGTCAGTGTGAAAGTCTCATTGGTTCCAAGTTCAGGATTGTACTTCTGCATTGGCTGGAAGTAGAACAACATCCCTGTCAAGAATGAAAATATTGTGAATCAGCAGAATGTACCCAAGATTCCAAACAGAGCAATATAGTTGAAATGTTGGAAGAACTTCTTCCTTTTCATGTTATATCCAGCTGCGAACACGATTGGTGGGAGACAAACAAAGAAGAACAGACTTTCACTGAACTCAAGGACATCATTGATCTGGGTGTACCCAAAGAACTTGGCAAATAGTGATATGATCATGCCCAAAATGATTGCGACTCCTGTTTCATGGATATATGCCATCTTGGTAAACTCAATGAATGATCCCATCATGGTATAGACCAATAGTAGAGCCAATACGGCTATATAGCCTGCTTTGACGTAATATTCTTCTTCCTCAATCTCAGTGTGGCTTCCACCTCCACCTGCTTCATTAAGCATACTCATTTTTAAAGTTTTTGGTTAAATTTTATTGATACATTCCCTAAGGAACATGGGGTTTTGGGGTTTTGGGGTTTTGGGGTTTTGGGG